TCATTCCCCAGTTTCATAATAAACAATTCAAATTTTATCTAGGTGTCCAATTGGATCTTCAATTGTGTTCTTATCTGGGGGTAAGAGAAGACTGGCCTCCCAGCTTGTCTCATTGACGTTGCACACCTTGATCCAGAACAGAAACAGCTGTGCACACCAGAAATTCATCTTTCATTAAAGTTCGAAGGTTGCTTATTAGAATTAGAATTATTATTTTATTGCGAGGCTGGAATTTGTGACCCAGCAGAGAAAGAAACCAACTTCCTCGACAGGATTCAGGCAGCCGGTGCCAAACAGGCAATATAACATAATGTAATAATATTGCTTCACAAATTAGTTTCTATTTCTGTTGAAAGAACACTGTTGTCCCAAAAATTAAAGGTACTGTCTGAATTGCAGTTGACATTTACTCAATGAATTAGCTTTCAGCTCTTTAATTAGTAGGTGTGCGTATCTCTGAAACAGACCTGAACATCAGTTCCATCAATTAACGGAAAAACAAGACGCAATTAATCTTAAATGATACGCATATAAAATGAGCACTTAAAATTAAGCTTTTTCTCATTTATGTTTTTTTTGCAAGGTGCACACATAGTGCTCCACAGGATCCTGTTGTTCCTGGCCGACCTCTGAAGGTGAGGGTTTGTTCAGATGGGAGGCCTTTCAGTTCTGGCCCCAGGTGATGCCTTTTTGAAGAAGAAGGTTCTGTGTCGAGATTCGGACGGTTTCTCCTTGTGCTTGCTCGGGTTATTGCCAGAGTCCTGCCATGTCCACCCTATTCCTAGACACACACTGGCCTGGCTTCTCTGAGCTCCTCGATTGTCCCTTTTCTTGAACGGCCCTACGACAGACCGTTGAACAACGAATCCTGTCAAGAGAAAAAGCAGCCCTCTGCTCTGTCGCGCCTTAACATTGTACTTCCTGTGCTTCTGGGCTAGGGTCTGAGTGGTCCTGACCCTGCCCAGCTTAATGACGATGAAAGGATCGAAGACTGTGTGTCAGGGGCAGAGCTGGGGGTTTAAATTCTCTTCAGGAAATGAAAACCACTTTGTGGCTGAGGGAGACCGGGTTAGCAAGTCTCCCATTGTTTTTGTCCTGTTGACTGATACAGGATTGACGACGTTTCACTGTGCTGTCTGCCATATAGCGTCCTCACTGTACGCTGGAATATATTGTACCTTTCAAAAGTGTGCATTGTCTTAAAATGTGTCACAGATGTAGATGACAGGCTTTCAGCTGTAACACAGGTGATGCCCGACTTTCTGCGGGATTTCTGAATGACCACAGCAGGTATGAGCCTGGTCAGTACCTGGATGGGAGACCTCCGGGGGAAAACTAAAGTTGCTGATGGAAGAGGTGTTAGTGGGGCCAGCAGGGGGCGCTTACCCTGTGGTCCATGTGGGTCCTAATGCCCCAGTACAGTGACGGGGACACTATACTGTAAACAAGCGCCATCCTTCGGATGAGACGTAAAACCAAGGTCCTGACTCTCTGTGGTCATTAAAAATCCCAGGGTGTTTCTCGAAAAGAGTAGGGGTG